GGAATGTTGGTGCTGTGGGAAAAAGACAGGTACATTTTCACCAGCAACTTGCAAGCAGCAAAGCACTATAAAAACTGGCCAGGCCAGTTAAAATCCAGCCAGCTGGCAAGACTAGTTCAAACACTCTGACTCGTGTAGCCAGCCTGTCCTCTAGAAGACTGGTTTCTCTTCTGCTGAGATGCAGGTCATCTGAACTGCACAGCCCTGTCTCATAATCCCACGTTTGGTACCAAGTTGTCGTAGGGTCCCTCCCCAGAGTGAAGGGACTTTGAAGAGGCCAGCTGCGAGAAGCCAGCTTGGTCCTGACTGGTTGCAACTGGACCTGGATACCCCAGCCAGGGATTGAACTTTCAAGTGGCATGGCTGGAGGGCAAGGCCACAGAAGACCCAGACACAGGTAACCAACAGGAGGAGGTGACTGGGGGAAGACCCAGTACCCAGCCACAAAGGGGTGTGAGCCAGTGAGTTGCTTCTGTGCATTTCCTGTGAAGCAGCATCATTAGGGCCATTATGCACCATCACCAGTGGATTCTTGTCCACTGATTTCAGAAACCATTTTAGTCACACCTTGTGTGTTAGCTTCAGGAAGACAGCACACCATACTGTTGTCCACTTATCCCTTGCAGCATGTCCTTTCTATTCTTCTTAGTATAGAATCTCCCAAAAGGATTATCTGTCTTCCTTGGATTCTAATTTTCTTCATAGGTATCTGGCATACAGGATTTAAATATAGATATAGTAGTAAGAAGCCATTTGTGAGCTAGAGACAGACAAAAATGTTAGAGAAAGAAATTTCAGATCAGTAATTTTTAGTGACCTATAACTCGAAAAACAGTTTGATGAATTTTCTTCAGTCTTTGCAGAACCGTTCTCCTTTTCTTTAAGAGTAAAATACAGGAATGTTCAAGTCAAACAATTTACCAGGTCAAAATTTCAGGGGAGAGGCACAAATAAGTTCTTATAATAGAAGCTGGTTGCAATCTTAACTTTGGAGAGGCTGGCTACCACCTTCTCATAATACTTGTGAAGTAAACTTCTCTACTGGTAACACTAACTCCCCAGTGAGCCTTGAAATCACAGTAAGCTTTGATCCCTCATCATGATTATTTTCTCTGTATAAGAATAGACTCCTCTAATGTCAAAATGATCAGATCTGTTGAGATCTTGACTTTGGAGACTCATGGAATATTTGAACTGTTGCATGAATCTTTTCTTATCCCCATTCCCCTCTCCATCCATGGGATACCTGCTTTAACCTCTTAGTTTTAGTCTCTCCTCATTCAAATCACTCCTCCAAACTAATTTCTGACATTCTCTTTACAAGATGCAAGTATAACTCCCTCCTCTTGAACCATTAAGCTGTCTACAAGCGTACACTGAATAAACACTTGATACTGCCTTTGCCTTTTTTCAGTCCTTCATTAACATTTATTACAGGTTTTTTGGTTACTTTTTAATATTCACAGATTCTTTCAAAGTGATTTTATGTGCATTTTTCTTCAGTGGTGGCAGGTGTCGGCACTGTCTGATCTGCTGCAATTAATACTCTTTCCAATTTTTCATGTTCTGCCGTAAGGTTAGATTTGAACTAGAAAGGTTTGTCAATTCCTGCAGCCACCAGAGCAGAGCCTTTATTAGAGTAGTTTCTACCTAGTTATCAATAATTCCATGGGACTTTGACACAATTTCTTTAAGATCCTTTAGCACTTCCTTTATCGCGCCTTCCCTTCTCTTGATACAAATTTTACTGACGTTCCAGTGTATGCATCCCCAATTGCTATCCTCTCTAGAGACAGCCATCCTCCGGTGAAGATGTCTCATTTTTAGTAGCCTCAGAATCTATTTTCCATAACTATATCAAGATGCATGAGTGCATAGCAGAGTAGCCCCTATTAGCAGGGGAGGGACTTTAAAGACTCTAGCCAGATTTCTCCATTCCAGGATTCAGAGAGCTAGCTATATTATATTCTTCACATGTACTGTATGGAATATTATTATATTAGTGCCTCAGTATGCTAGGTGCTGTCACTGCCTTGAAGAGACTTCAGATGAATTTAGCCAGGAAGGGATATCAGTAATTTTAATTTCACCAGTATTTGCCATTATAATACCCCTGAAATATTTAAGATAGCCTCAGCCTTTAAAGTAAATAATAATAATTAATAAACTTTAAAGGCCTGTTGAGGTAACTGATGTTAATGGCAAAGACTAGAGAAGAGATTACTGATGGGTAAGGATGAAAGGCGCAATACCATTTCTAATATCGTCTTGTGTTCACCACAGAATTTTCATTCAGTCTGGACCCTGGAATTATTTTGTCAAAGCCTGGTGTGCTCTTTGACTAACAAAGAAGATTCCATTTCATCAGGTAATCCTTAGTAACACCACTTTCTCTTCTTCTTCTTCTATGCTTAGCCGAATGGTCATCCGGAGCGATCGCTCACCATTTGGTCCGTTCCTATGCAGCTGCAAAGGCTTGACCAGCCAAGAGTCCAATGTCAGAACAGATATGATGCACCCATGTAAGAAAGGCTCTGCCTCTGGGCAGCCTCTACCCCTCACCTGGTGGAACTTTCTCTTCTCTCATTCTATTAGTTTCATTTGGTTTACGCTTTTGCTTTTTCTTTCTTCAGATTTTTCCCTTTCCTGACACACATGTTAACCTGTTTCCTTTAATGCTCACTACTTGTAGAACCTGCTGCTGTTGTTGGACTTCCTTCACCTTGGTTCTCCCCACTTGCTAAAATCCTTTCTATTCCCCAATTTTTTGGGGAATTCTCCAGCTCACTCTCAGTTAACTCCTGCAGTCCTTATTCTCTTAATTTCAATTACAGTTATTTATTTTCCTAGCCCACAGACATAATTCAAAAGATTCTGGTTGCTGTTCAAATACAACTGTGAGAAAAGATTCACTCCAGTGTATCCTACACATGTTTAGGGGATAAAGCATAGGGTTAAGAGTCAGGAACCCAGGGTTCTAGTCTCATTTTGACTATTTGCCCACTATGTGACTTTGGGTAACTACTAAGGATCTGGTCGAATTACCACTGAAAACTATTGAGGATTTGGCTCCATAAAAGCTGACTATTATTAAAATCTTTACTTACAATGTCATAATATTAAGACCATAATTGTAACCAACAAGAAATATCTTACATTATTTTCCTTTCAACCCTCTGGACTAAATGTTGCCCAGTTTCCCTGATCTAAGCACTTTGAAGCTTTTAAGGGTTTTCTTTTTCATGATTTTGCTGTCATTTTAAAATTGTGATGATCTATCTTGACCCTTCAGGGGAAGTCAGCTGTCTTAAGAGGATGCCAATAGATATATTATAAGCACTCTTCTGAATTTAAAAGGTTGGTTATCTATTCCTGCCATTTATCTATAAAACATATGATACAGGAAAGTACAATCATGAAATGAAGATGCTCTGACCAGGCAGTTTTTTACATTGCCAAAATCGCCAACGCTAAGTGCTTCTTAGATCATGTTAGTTGATTTTATTTGTATATTTTAAACAAGGAATTTAAAAATCATATGGGAAGTGTAATTTAAATACAATAAATTAAATATAAGAAGTCTGTAAAATCTTCATTTTCCCTACTTATAGCAAGGAAGATTTCTTATATATGTTCCATGAGTAATAAGGTTATAATTTAAGAACAAACACACTTGTTCTGTATGCCCTCCATAAACTGTAACATTAAACCTACTTTTATGACATCAAGCAAGAGTCTAGGAATGGACACGTCTGGCGAGTATAATGCAAATCATACTAGATAAAGGAATAGGATAACACCTACTTGAATGGAATTGATTGTATGCATTCCTCTTTATCTCCATCCACAATTCAGGTCCTTCATAATGTCTTTCTCTGCCCCACCCCCCAGCAGATGCACAAGGGGGTTCTTCTCTCATTCTATTAGTTTCATTTGGTTTATTCTTTTGCTTTTTCTTTCTTCAGATTTTTCCTTTTCCTGACACACACGTTAACCTGATAAACAAAAGTCCTCTCTCCTCTTTCTTCCCTTACAGGAGAGGGGAGCCCATAAGAAAACAAAGAGAAGGAAGGATGACCTGGATCTCAGACAATCTTGCTGGGTCAGCCCTTTGGGCTTAGTCTAAAATGGGGTCTACCTCCAGCCCCTCCATGTTGGGCATACTGCTCTGAGGCTGAATTTTTCAGTTTGGGGAACAGTGAGACTTATTGCAGTCTCACTCACAGCAAGCTTGTCTCATATGTTTGAGGTGGGGCAGCCTTCTTCCTATTCACTGCTCCTCCCTGTGGCAGTTTCTTTTTAAGCTCCCCTTATCCCAGCCAGAACAGGTCTTGCAGGTGCCCTCGTTGGTGTTGAGCTGGCCCAGAGGAGCTCATTAGTCTCCTCTCTGTCTGTGTGAGGGCCTATCCCAAATTTTATTTTAAAAAATACTAAAAATAGTTAGTTTAGAGAAATAAGATATGATAGGTTAGCTCTAACTGATTGTTTCTCTAACTGCTAACTCAGGAATGTGACTCCCACTATTTTAGTCACAGGGGTTGTTTTACAAACCTGAGGGGGCACCATAATTAAAAGCAAGCAAAATAATCACAATTATTAACCAGAGCTATTTTATTAAAGAAAGAAAAAGAAAACATTAAACAAAACAATAGAAATGACAGAATACAACTGATAAACAGGTTATTTCCATTACAATCTCATCTGTATGTCTCTGTGGCGAGCTTTCACTAGAGATTACACCTCTGAGAGTGGACTGCCTTTGGGGGCATTCTTTCATTTGGTAAGTTAAGACCAGAGTATAGTGTTTCCCAAATCTATTGAGAGTCATTTTAGTATATCATAGATACTGAAACTGATTATAATTGGGCAAAAGAATTCATTGAAGAGCAGGTAGGTCCTGTTTGGTATATCAATGATAACCGAAACAGTTCATAATTGGGCAAAGTAACCAATCTTAATTAAGTCCTATGAAATTGAAGAAAACATTTAAATCATTTACTTAAAAGAAACCATTTAAGGAGCTGCCTTGAGACAGGCCAATGGTAAATATTAAGAAATTTAAATTCAGTTAAAGCTCACTATTTCTGTTTGCCAATGTTTAGCCCCTGTCTCCTCTCTAGGAATACATAGTCTACTCATTTGGTGATTAACAGGAGCAACTGTTAGTATCTTAGTTTACAACAGTATTTCCATATGCCAATAAAATCATTACAAGAGTTTTAAAACTAATCCCTTGGCAGTGTCTTAGTTAATTGCCTTTTACCAATCCATGTTGAAGCATTGGGAAAGTTTTCCTTGGGTTGGTTTCTTCTTCAGTCTTCTCTGTTTTTTCTTAGCTGTCTGTGGTAGCTTGCTTATAGAGATGGACAGGATGAGTCTTGGAGTGCTTGCTGTTTAAGCAAGATAGCAGGGAGAGTGTGAGAGTGAGAGAGCTGCTCACATAAGAGTTTTATATTCTTCTTCTTCCTATTTTCATGAAAGCAGGAATCTTTTTCAAGCTTGTTTAGATTCAAAGATGTTTGCTGTCATCCTTCATTGGCTCCAAGCTGTTGTGAGTTGGTTTAAGGTAACACCTTCAGCTTCTGAATATGCAGTCTGTTTAATGAATATACAACATTTCTAACTGGCTTTGTTCTTGTGTCAGGAAAATCCCAGAAAACATTCTAAAGTTAGTGAATAATGTCTTCTTTTTATTGAATTCCTTCAATTTTATTAGAATTCAATGGGAAAATTAATTCTATTTTCATAGAATCGTAGGACTGGAAGGGACCTCAAGACGTCATCTAGTCCAGTCCCCTGCACTCATGGCAGGACTAAGTATTATTGAGACCATCCCTCACAGGTGTTCGTCTAACTTGCTCTTAAATATCTCCAATTATGGAGATTCTACAACATCCCTAGACAATTTATTCCAGTGCTTAACCACCCTGACAATTAGGAACTTTTTCATAATGTGCAACCTAAACCGCTCTGTCTGAAATTTAAGCCCATTGCTTCTTCTCTTAGCCTCAGAGGTTAAGGAGAACAATTTGTCTTCCGCCTTCTTGTAACAACCTTTTATGTGCTAGAAAACTGTTATCGTGTCCCCTCTCAGTCTTCTCTTCTCCAGCCTAAACAAACCCAATTTTTTTTCAATCTTCCCTTAGAGATCATGTTTTCTAGACCTTTAATCATTTTTATTGCTCTTCTCTGCTCTTTCTCCAATTTGTTCACATCTTTCCTGAAATGTAGGACCCCTGAACTGAACACAATACTCCAGTTGAGTCTTAATCAGTGCAGAGTAGAGAGGAAGAATTACTTCTTGTGTCTTGCTTACAACACTCCTGCTAATACATCCCAGAATGTTTGCTTTTTTTGCAACAGCGTTATGCTATTGTCTCATATTTAGTTTGTGATCCACTATCACCCCCAGATCCCTTTCTGCAGTACTCCTTCCTAGGCAGTTGTTTCCCATTTTGCATGTGTGCAACTGATTGTTCCTTCCTAAGTGGAGTATTTTGCATTTGTCCTTATTGAATTTCATCCTATTTTCTTCAGACCATTTCTCCAGTTTGTCCATCTGAATTTTAATCCTATCCTCCAAAGCACTTGCAACCCCTCCTAGCTTGGTATCATCTGCAAATGTTATAAATGTACTCTCTATGCCATTATCTAAATCATTGATGAAGATATTGAACAGAACTTGACCCAGAACTGAATCCTGCGGGACCCCACTCAATATGCCCTTCCAGCTTGACTGTGAACTACTGATAACTACTAAACTTTTCAAAAGTTCAAATGCTCCTGTTCTTTTATATAAAAGTTTTTAGTTCTCAGAAGTCTCTGTCAATTAAATAACTCTTAAGCTTAAAGAATTATTAAAGAAGTTGATTCTTTATACTAATATTTGGAGTCATGATGAATCTTGTCTTTCTGAGTTGGGTGTGGGAGTTGCTTGAGCACTACCTGTACTGAATTAACCCCATTAATACAAATATTCTACACTTAAATGTTTTCTTACATTAGGCATTAGTTTAGCAAGATCATTAGATTCCATATTGTTGCATATAACATTTTACTATTTACATAGAAATGACATTAGGAAACTATGTTAGGTGCTTTCCACTGATGTGTTACAAAGGACTGGTCACTTACAGACAATATATTAAGAAAGAAGACTGAAGTGGTATGTTGTATGGATGTCAAAAATTCATATTCCTGGACAAGCCCTTGACAGGATACCACCTGGTGGAAGATGGAATAGCAGATGACATATTAGAAAACTACTGAGAAGATGCCGCTATCATGGAAACAGACTCTGATGAATCAAGAAAAGTGATGCTAGACAGACTGAGGTGGAAACACTCATGTGTCACACGGTACAAGAGAATCAAATCTTATCTAATTTGCATTTAAACAATACTTGCAACTATGCCAGCAGAAATAATTTGTAATTTTAAGAAATAAACAAAAGTTTAAAACATTTCCAACTACACGTTTTTCCCAGAGGCTTTTTGGAGGAAGTTTTTAGAGTAATTAGAAAATTCATTTCAACAAGGATATTTCTAGAATTGTTTGCGTAGGTTTACTTAAGTTTTTCTCAGGAGGGTGAAAAACCCACTTAATACATAGATTTATTGCTCTGATAATACAACTGTACATTCTTTTTCACAGTTGGGTCTTTTTCTAAAACATAAATGTTTTACATGCTTTGTTTTCTTGAGATAAGGATTACATTTGTACCAAACTGGTATTTTATACATAAGGAGATGTCCTGGTCTAGATAAGACACTCTTAGGGGTGATAAACATGGTTTCATGGCTAAGAAGGGTCTTCCTGACATTTGGCTTGTCTTTGCATGACGCAAAACAGAAGCCTCCTGCAATTTTCATAACCATCCTGAATCTTTTATATCGTAACTAACTATAACATACATAGATATTGTTATGTTTCAAGCATTCTGACTAAAACATACTTGTAGCTATATCTTAATGTTAGTAAAGGTGCAAACAAGTTTGTAATGGCATAATATTAAAATAGTAATGCATGCAGCTGATGAAGTGGGTATTCACCCACGAAAGCTTATGCTCCAATATGTCTGTTAGTCTATAAGGTGCCACAGGACTCTTATTTTATCAAGGAATGGGGAAAGATTGTGTAGCAATTTATTGGTCAGCAGTAAATTTCTAACCCATTTCTCCTGGTGGAAAGAGGAAGCAGAGAAGGAATTTTGACTCAGAGGGGTGTCTCTGACGTACAATATTTCCTGGGGCTGTTGCTGGTTTACTGTGGTTTATCTTGGTCAGGTCTGTGCCAATAGTCATAATCTCAATTCTACATGCTAGTTTTCAGCCTAGTTTTGAGTATGTCCTTCCCTTTTTGTTAACACCAATACAGTATGCAGATACAAGCTGGAGTATAGAAACAAACAAGCTTTTATGTATGTAGCTTTTAATAATGTCACTGAGTTAATTTAGGTTGCAGCTTTTAGAGTCATAGACATTCCATATACAGACGCTTCCCAATTTACGCAAGCGTTCCGTTCCGGAACGCCTTGCTTAACTCGAATTTTGCGTAACTCAGAAACATATACCCGACAATTACACGCAACCCCCCAACCCCCTGCACCCACTCCTATTTCTAATTTACGGAACTTTTTCCGTAAGTGCAGATTTGTGTAAATCAGGTTTGCATAATCTGGGGGGCATCTGTAACTGACTTTTGCATTATCAGACATCCAATTGACATTGTTCTAAGATGTAGATGGTCAATAATACATAAAGATATTGGGCCTGCACTTCCAGGCAGGCAGTACACATATCAGAAACAAGAGTATCAGTAAACTTTTACAAATTATTTTTTGATGTAAGATCTCGTCATCTACCTGCAAAATGATAGTTTTAAAAAATGTGTACATATTCACTTGAAGTGTGTTTATATTTGCAATATGTTCTTTTATGTGGAAGAAGAGAGACCGAATGAAAGGAGAATCCTTTTTTAGTAATGACTATTTCAATGTGTCTTTCCAAAGCTTTGTAAATATGCAGTGCTATAAAATTTAGTTATAAGAAGTAATCATTATTTAAAAAAAACAGAATATTTTTTCCATTTCACATGCCATTTAAATGTCTGTAGCCATTAAATTTGTCTTGAAGACCAGTTTTTCTATTTGGAGCCTAATAACAGTAATGCAACAATTCAGAACATCTCAGAAAATTATGCTTTAATGTCTCTTTTCCATCAGTGGTTACGCAGCCTTTCTTCTATGAAACAGGCTTTTTCACCATTACAAACTATTCAGTCAAAAGTCAGAAAACACATGGGTAGCAGAAGCTTGTTTTGGTTACTTCTGTGAAGCTGCTTAGGGAAATTTCAGTAAAATACCCTATGTAGCATTGTACATGATTCAGATAGGCCAAAAGATTTTGTAAAATATTCAGGGTTTGGGTTTTTGTTTTTTGTTTGTTTATTTGTTTTATATTTTAATTCAGCCCAGTTGGGCAAAAGACGTATTTAAAATAATCTTTGAGAGGACTTCTGTGTTCAGGAGTTCTTTCTGGTGAGGAATGTGAAAACAAACATGCAGCTGATTATAAAATGAATGTTATATTATGCAAACCTGAGAGTGATAGGATGTCATTAATGATTTATGTATTTTTGGGGTACTTTATCTTGTGGTTAATATGTTGTGTATTTTCCCAGGCAGTTATATGGCCATTGGAATGTGAAGATGCTACTTACCCTATGTGTCTTCCCTCAAAGTGTGATGCTCATTGAAATGGAGATGTAACCACTGGCTTCTTAGGTCTGGGAGGCTAATATGAAATTTGCCTTTAGACTGTGTATGCCTTTTGGGAAATGTAGTTTAGTAACTTGGTAGCCATTTTTGCCAGCATTTTTGCCAGCATTGCCAACAATGCTGTAAAGTAGTTACATTAAATAAATACTATAGGATTTCTTGTATTAATGAGGGCAAAGGTTTACCTGATCCATTTTCATCATGTGGAGTTAACTGTTTTTTTTGTTTGTTTGTTTTGAGGGGAAGGAAGGAAGGTTCTTTGGGAGTGGAAAGAGGAGGTTGTTTGGGAATTAATTGGTTTTGGTGGTATAAAGACCCAAAGAAGGCTACAAAGGTAACATGGGATCAGAAGAATTTAGTCTTTTTAGTGTTTAGTGTTTTAAATTAGGACATAAGGCCAGATTTTTAAAGATATTTAGGTGTTGCTGTGCTCTGTGCTACACCTAACTCTTTTATGAGCCTAAATCACATCAACTGTCAATGGTATTTTGGCTCTTAAGTGTCTAAATCCCTTTTGAAAATGAGATCTACCTTATATTTGTGTTTGGCCATTGTTTTTCTTTTTAATTTTTAAAATAGAATCTTTTATATAAACATTCCCGGTTCTTCAAAGAGTTTATACTCTCACAGCTTCACCACTGGTTGCTTCCACTAGCTGGAAAACAGTTTGTCTCTTCCACCAATTGCAAGAAGGGGGTGACAAGTTGGGAATTGAGAGTTGTGGCTCATTGAGTGTCCTGTGTGCTGTTTTTGCTTCTGTGATAATTTTTTTCCAAGGAGGCCATGTTCTAACAATGAGCAACAAGTACAACGGTTTTAAATTTCATTCCAGACAAAGTTGATTGCTTTTGTGATAGAATTATAAAATTAGTGGAGGAACTGGTCCATGAGAAAAAAAATAAAGGTGCCTGTATACTATGCCTGTGGGAACAGGGCATCCACATTCCTCAGGCAGGTTTGAAAATCCTATCCTGAATACGATTAGCATGGCTAACTGAGGACCTAGAGAGGGAACCTAACCTGGTCCTGATCCAAAGCCTATTGAAATCAGTGTGGGTTTTTCCACTGACTTCAGTGGGTTTTGGATCAGGATGGAGAGGAATAATGTAGAAACAGAAAAATGCAAAATTTAGGTTGAATATTAGAAAAGAAATCCCAATAGTAAAACATACTGGGCAGTGGAAGCTTGAAACATTTAAAATAGCACAGGTCAAACATTTAAAATAGCACAAATATATTGGCCAGATCCTCAATAGTGTAAATTAGCATAGCTTCATGACTTCAATGAAGCTACTTAGATTTAGACCATCTAAGGATCTGGCTCATTTAAAGGAACAATCCTTTAGAGGCAGGAGAGATAGACAAAATGTTCAAAGTATTTTCCATATTTAATTCCTACAATGTTTCTGTGACAATACTACAGGTTGAACTTAATGGGAAATGAGAGATTATGAGACAGGCTAAGAGACCAGTTGTGTAATTGCCCTAGAGAGTTGACAGCCAAGTTAAGAGGCTGAACCTGAGAGGACAGCAGCAGTATGTGTTAGGGATAGGGAAAGAAAAGCAGACTTTATTCATGTTCTCTCCTTGAGAGCTAGGCAAAAGGAAAAGTCAAGGGAAACGATCATGAATGAGAGTATTTAAATGCCTGTCAGTCAGTAGAGCAATAGAACCAATATATAGAACCTTGGATGTTTTCCTTTCAGATCAATTGACTGCAATCTGGCTTCACTCAACCTCTCACCATTGATAAAAGTTATTCTATCTAAATATTCTCAGGACAGTCTTGTTTCAGCATTGTATGTGAGGGGATGTTAGCACATGTGATTCTTTGCACTGTACTATTTAGGGCTAATGAACAGAGTACAAATGCCTAGACAGAATTACATTATTTTAGATAGATGCATTGCCAAACACTGAAGTGTTAGCTCCACTGGAATAATCCAGAAAAACGTCTGGTTCTTGAATCAAGATTAGGCTCAACAGCAGCCAAATTGTAAAAGCCCTGTGGGGCGTCTGTGTCCAAAACCGCAGAAATTGAATTTAAGCTTGAGCAGATAACTACAGAAGTAAATAAGTTATGCCATAATGGGCCATTAGAATATAACAATATGTTGCCTTTTAGATAACTTTCAGTTTGCTAATTTGAAAATTGCTACCATATGAAAGCTTTCAGAATGACAGCACATACATTTGTTTATATTCTGTTATTTGAATATGCCTAATATTGGTTCTATTAAGCCATTATAATGCTACAGCAACTACATCATGCATATTTTCTTTCTGTATGAATACAAAAGTATAATGCGCCAAGATTTGCTGAAAACTGCATGGTTAAGTACATTTGTTTTCTACTTACAACAGAAAGCTGTGCTCTTGAAAACCTATTGAAGAATATTGAAACTTTTTCACTCGGCGATGTTTCTCCCTGTCTAATGACCAAAGA